ATATAAAATAGCAAAAAAGGAAATTTCAAATTTGTATATATACCAACCCATTGCCACCCTTCAACACCTTGCATTGAGACCCATCTACCTTTTTCTTCATCAGAAGAACACACTAGTATACTAGGGGGGTTCAATCCTGAACTCTGGGGGAAGCCATGTTTCCACCCTTGCACACCCTGCTCATCATGAAAATGCACAACTTCAATAAGCTTGATGTGTTTTTTTTTTCTTTTCTTGGGGGATCGATGACGATCAAAATAGAGTCCGGCAGTGCATCTCGCTTGTCCCAGTAACAATCTGTGATTCATTCTCTCCTGTTTTTCATAATTAAAAAAAATAAATAAATAACAGCCGACATGGCAAGTTCTGAAACCCTAAAAAGCAGAAAAACCTCATGCCGGCAAAGAAACCACACGCCAACTCAAAAATGAGCAGTTTCGGTCGAAAAGTTTTGTTTTTGTGTCCATCCCCCCTGACACCACGGCCGCCCCCTGTAAATGTGACACCCGGTCTGACACCACGGCTGTGGGTACTTCCATTGCCTTTCCTAACTCGGCGCGGTTCTCTTTGCCAAAAAAAACGAATGATCGCAAAGGGTTTCTATCAGAATAGCTCCAACTCATGGGCTTGGAAGCCAATCGTCATAAAATAACAAGCCGAAAGCCTAATACGCTGCAAGGAAGTGACATTGTGTGATCTTGTAGCGGATCGCCCTTGCCGAACACTCCTGGGCAATTATCCCAACAGCATCTCACGTTCACAAGCATTCCGTTCAGCTGCGTATCAGAGACAAAGTCGGAGTACTGGGCCAGGGCATCAGACCTCTGGGACTCCCTTTTCTCACAAGCCCCTTCCTGAACATGCTATCCAACTTCTACTCTGGGCTAACAATCCGGCTGATCTCAATAAATCCCGAAAGGACACGGCTTGGCATGATCAGGAAGGTAACACTCTGGTGGATTTGGAAGGAAAAATGCAACAGGACTATCGAAGGACTAGATCCTATGCAGATGGCACAAGACAATGCACTCCTTGCCTGATGCCGAGGACTGGCAACAGACTATCCTCTCCAACTTGAAGTATGTCAAAGTTTGACTGGTGGGAAGGAAAATTGCAGAGTAGCCGAGGAAAATTGCAGATCATCCTCTCCAACTTGGAAGTATGTCAAAATTGCAGAGTTAAAAAGACTTCAAGATACGGTGGAAAGAACGGCATAACTCGGAACGATCTGAAGAAGTTCAAGACTGCACCCAACGTGTCGCTTATCGGTTTTCCTTGTTTTTCGAAGCTTCAGCTGACCCATTTGTCGCTGCGGAAATCTGAGAGGGAACTCAGGGAAAAGGCAAGCTGACAGTCAAATCCTCCTATCGGGAGTAATCGATGCTGGTCGAGATTCCCTCGGCCATACGGAAGGAAACGTGAGCGTTTTCTATGTCGTATTCTTCTTCTTCTTCTT